GAGCATGTCACTGCACTCCAGCCTGGGCAACAGAGTGAGACTCTAACTCAAAAAAAAAAAAGAAAGGAAAAGAATCTCGTGATACCAGCCTGGGCAACTTGGTGAGATCTCATCTGTACAATAAATCCAAAAATTAGCCAGGCCTGGTGGTTCCAGCTACTTGGAAGGCTGAGGCTGAAGGATTGCCTGAGCTGCCCAGCAGGTCGAGGCTGCAGTGCTACGCTCCAGCCTGAAAGACAGAGTGAGACTCCAATTCAAAAAAAAAAAAATCTTGAGATAGGCCAGGCACAGTGGGAGGCAGAGGCAGGAGGAGCATGTGAGCCAGGAGTGTGAGACCAGCCTGGGCAACATAAAGAGGTCTTGTCTTTACAAATAATAATAATAAAAAGATTAACCAGGCATGGTGGCATTCACCTATAGTCCCAGCTCTACAGGAGGCTGAGGTGGGAGGATTATCTGAGCCCAGGAGGTACAGGCTGTGGTGAGCCGTGATTGTGCCACTGTGCTCCAGCCTGGGTGAAAAAATGAGAACCTCAACTCAAAAAAAGAAAATAATAACTTTGAGGTGATGACAGCCGAGCATTACACCGAGTGCAGGGTGTAACGAGCAGGGGGCTGTGTGCCTGGGGTTGTGCGTCCTGAAGCCGGGCCATAGTCACTTCACAGCAACCCACCTCTCACTCCCAAGCCACTAACAGAGTGGGCGAAGGGCCTGATTTGCCCAAAGGCACCCGGCCGGGGGATCTCGCAGGCCCAGCCCAGGGCCATGTGGCTCTCAGCCCCTGCCCTGCGCTGCCAGCTCCCCAGACACCTGCTTTAGGAAGACAGAGGCCATGCGAATTTCACACGTGGTTAAGTTGTCAGGTTCAGAGTATTTCAGGGTGTGAAAGCCCAGAAAACAAAACAAGGAAAAGAGGGGTGAAAGCAAGAGATCAAGAGTTTTGCCTGCATTCCACAACGTGCAGGAGAAGCATCTGAACTTTGAAAGTTCATTGCCCCGGCTCTTTCTGTGCAAGTGTTTGGCCTCTGGGCTCTGGAAGAGGGTGGAAGGTGGTGAGCCGGGGCCTTTGTTCCGTGGGCCCTGACTGTCCCGTGTTCACAGGCTGTCCTACACTCCTTGGCTATCCCGCGTATCCAGGCTGACCCGTGCTCCCTGGCTACCCTGTGTGCCCAGGCTGTCCCCTGCGCCCTGACACTGCCCATGCACCCTGACGCTATCCCGTACGCCCCGGCTGTCCTTTGGGCTCAGGCTGTCTCACTCCCTGGCACTGTCCCATGCTCCCTGGCTGTTCCATGTTCCCTATCTCGCGTGCCCAGGCTGTCCCATGCTCCCCGGCACTGTCCCATACTCCCTGATTGTCCCGTGCACCCAGGCTGTCCCATGCACCTCGGCGCTGTCTCGTGCGCCCTGGCTGTCCCATGAGCCCTTGTTGTCCCTTGTGCCCAGGATGCCCCGTGGCCCTGGCGCTGTTCTGTGCTCCCCGACTGTCCCATGCACCCAGACCCTGTCCCGTGCTCCCCAGTGCGCCCTGGCTGTCCTGAACGCTTCTGCCTGGACAGCGGGGCCCTCCCCGCAAGCTACCTGGGAGGGAGGCCGGC